AGTTTGTGGGAAGTCAGACAAATATCGTCGGCGAAGTCCAGATCCTCCAAGTACTTTTTTGTGTGAGTCCATTCTTTGCGTGTTTCCTGACTGCCCGTTGTCTGTCGCATTATGCAGTCTACTGCAATCAGGAAGATCATTGGCGATAATAGACAGCCTTGCCTCACTCCCGTCCTCACTTTGAAGGCTTCTGTAAGTTTCCCGTTGTGGATTACTTTGCAGGCATTATTGTCGTATAACTGTTAAATGAGATGTATAATTGTCGATGGGACCCCGTAGTAGCGAAGTAGTCGCCAAATCACCTCTCGGTCGAAGGCCTTTTCAAAGTCAGTGAAGATGTGTGAGGTAGAGAGGTGACTGCAATTTCAAGTTTTGTTCAATGATGACCCGTAGTGTGGCGATTTGATCAATACATGAATTGTTTCTCCTGAATCCAGCCTGTTCCGATTAAAGTTTTCCATCCAGGGCTTGTTTGATTCTCTCCAGGATGAAGCGGCTTAGTATTTGGCTTGGGATGGACAGGAGCATAATTCCACGCCAGTTTTCGCATTGAATTAAGTCTTCTTTCTTTTGTAGTTTGAATAAGTATCCTTTCTTCCAATCCGCAGGTTCTTTGCCCTCTTTCCACACATTCTCCAGCAATGGCGTCATCAAGTCCGCTGTTGTCTCTGGGTCCTTTTTCAATGCTTCTGCTGGGCTTCCATCTGGTCCCGCTGCTTTTCCAACTTTTTGCATCTCGATTGGATTCAGGACCTCTGATTTCGTCAGAGGGTTGATGTTCACTGGTAGTTCTGCTTCCGTTGTTGGTATTGTTGGGCGCGTTGTAGGTGGCGGTCGATTTAGAAGTCTTTTGAAGTGTTCAACCCAGTGTTTTCTTTGCTCCACCTCTTTGGTGATTGACTTTCCATTGTCGTCCTTTAGTGGCTTAATCTGTGTCGAACTTTTGCCCAATAGGTGCCTAGTTGTTTGGTAGAGTGTGGTGAGGTCTCCTTTGCCTGCAGCTTGTTCCGCTTCACTTGCCATGAATTCATAATATTTTCTTTTGTCTTCTCTGGCACTCTTCTTCACTCTTTTGTTCAGTGTATTATAGCTTGCATTCAACTCCTGTTTTTGTTGCTCGTCAGTGCACTGGATAATCTTTTGTTTCACTATCCTTCTATCCTCTATTAGTTTCCAAGTGACTAGTATGAAGGAAACTTGAAAGCTGTGATATAAGAACCTGGATATGATTATGAGCAACAAATTGTACTTTTTGATGTGGTTTTGTTCTCTGAGCTGGATAGTTAATTTGCGAAGCTTTCATCACCCTACTGGGTGACATCTTCAGCCAGTTGGATATGAAACTAACAATCTCACTGAGTATAAAACTTAACTGCCGATGCCGAAATATCAATCTCAAAGTGCCATATTTCATTCAGAAATTATAAAAAAAATGTGTTTTACTAAATAAAATTATTTTTCATATATTTATGCTCCATTACAGTCCTTTGTTTCTATTTTTATCTCACTATAAGCCACTTTAGTTATTTCATGTAGCATACCTTCACAATTTGTGGTCATTACAGAACTTTCGCTACTTACGTGTGAATTGTTGGGCGATTGGTTCTTGCATTGTTTGTTCCAATAACTCCTTGTTTGTGATTCTTTCCGGCCATCTGATCTTCAGTATAGAGCGAAGACAGTTGTTAATAAAGGTCTGCAACAGGCTGTTGGAAATATTCTTTGTGACCCGCCAAGTTTCTGATCTGATCTATACTGAAGATCAGATGGCCGGAAAGAATCACAAACAAGGAATTATTGGAACAAACAATGCAAGAACTAATCGCCGCCCAATAAATATGCAGGAGAAAGTGGAGATGCATCGGTCACTCGCTGAGGAGACCGCTGGGTGACATCGCGCGCCAAGCCCTCGAGTGGGACCCGAAAGGGAAACGGCGTGTGAGACGTCCAAGGGTGACATGGAGGAGATCATGTGAAGAGAAGTTGAAACAGTATGAACTAACATGGATGCAGGCGAAAAGTACAGCAGAAGACAGAATTAAATGGAGATGTGCAGTTGAAGCCCTATGTTCCACTAGGAACCCAAGGGAGCAATAATAATAATACGTGTGGATTGGGTTATTTTATTTTTGTCTCAAAATAATTTGAAGTATGAAAGTGTAGGCGGTTTTGGCGGTTTAGATTTCATAGATTGTTTGATGAAACATTCTGGGTAGCCATTTTCGAGGAGGATTCTTTTGACAGTGCTCAGCTCCTCTTCTATAGTATCAGGACTGCATATATTGGGGATTCTATGGTTCGGTGAATGGATCAAGTTTCGTTTCGTATAAAGGGTACCCAGCTATGAAAGTGTTGTGTGTTGTCCACTCCATGTTGGGTTTCTGCAGATGGATCTTTTTGGTGTTTCTGTCTTATTCACGTCTTGTTAATTGGACGTTCAATGAGCCACAGCATTTGCAGCGCTGATACTACTATGGAAGAGAAACTTGACACTCAAAAGAGTCGTCCTAGAAAACGGCTACCATGAACGCCTTATCACAATATCCATGAAGCCTAAACCACTAGAACAGCCATGGCTTTCTGTTTCTATAAAACTACTGCACTGGAATTTACAATTTAAAAGGGACTCATACACAGAAATACTGAGAAACTTTGGTGATATTAGATAGTTGGAGGCAATTGGCAGGAAGCCTTGCTTGACTTAGATTTCGTGCTAGTTGGCACTAACCAGTCAGCAAGGCGTATCTACAACTGCCTTGAAGGAACTCATGTCCCTTCTAGGATTCGAACCCGCGTCACCCAGTGCTGCAGTTAGAGACGTTAACAATGAGCTATTCCGGCCCGCGATTGACCTCCTGTAGGACTGTAGTGGTTAGTTTGATTGAACATTAGTAACTAGTGTGACGTGTCTAGTCTTTTCTTTGGTGCAGACTGAATTCTACCAGTCTCTGACTGTAGCACTGGGTGACGTGGGTTGGCATCTCAGAAGAAACATCAGTTCCTTCAAGGTTGCAGATACGCCTTTCTAACTGACTGGTGAGTGCCAGCTAGCACGAAGCCTAGGTCAAGTAAAACTTCCTGTGGCCGATTGCCTTCAACTATCTAATATTATCAAATCAATGTGCACCGTGATGACAAGCTACCTAGAATGGTGGCCACATTGCAAACCTGACACGTCACACTAGTAACTAGTGTCCAATCATATTGAGAAACTGCTTGTCGTGCTCATTGAAGAAAACCTTCTTTGCGGCTGACATTCGACTAACCTTCACTGCGTTATTTAAATTATGACAAAAAAAACACAATGAGTTATGTACTTTATGAAGTAGTTCATGAAATGTATAAATCTCAAAGGGTTTGGGTGTGTGGAAATCATAAGATTAGTAGGCAATCAAAATATTACACAACAAACAAATAAACAAAAGGTGACAGATGAGATAATATTAAAAAACTGTTCAACGTGAAATTAATAATAACAAAGGAGATAATAACAATAACGGAAGGATATGCAAGCTGAATAAACCAAACGAAAAATAAATACGACCAAAGTAGGAATGAAGATTGTAATAGTTTAGCATTGGCGGATAAATACCATGAAAGACGGAGTAGTTGAACTAAATTCTTCTTCATTAGAAAGGTATAGCTTTTCCGCTTCGATGGCTAAAGCTTCAGCAATCCAGATAAGTCGGATAAATCACAGATTTTGAGGCTGGTTATTTCTTGCCTTATACATCAATCAATTTAAAGGAAAAATATGGATACTGAACAAAGGTTACTCTTTTCGATAACTTCATCATCAAGCTCTACATTAGTTAAAACCATTAACAGTTCGATATTGGACTATCTGATGCAAACCGGCTGGCCACAAAGCCAGCCAGCGTGGAAGAATCCTTCTCAGTAATCTATCGGGTGCCTAGTAAATTGGCTAAATAATCGAAGCACCGTATGCTCCAAACAACAGAGGCTATTACAATTCACCTCAAACAACCAGTGCTATGTGTTCAAAAGAAGCAAGTCCAGCCAGCCCCTACTACTGCCCTGACCGGCCTTCAGTAGAGACTATAAATTCATGAATTTGTAATGTCATCTTTCCTAATTTTTCTGACAATCAGTTTATTCTTATGTTGATGCTATTGAGCTGTAATCCATCAATATTATTGATTCGATGTTATTTAAACAGCAACATTAATGTTGTTCATAACACGAATTCATTCATTCATTCATTCACTATGATGGATGGATATATAACTGTAGAACCTGATGATGAAGGGGTTAACGAAAAGAGTATTCTTTGTTCAGTATCCATTCTTTTAGGAAAAAAATTTAATGAGCATTTTTAATCAGTTAGAGGAAAAGGCTGTAGAAATAAGCTGACCAGTATCGACCAAATGTTTAACTATCACGCTTCATAGCAGCCCCACTAACTTCTCTTTGTAAACATGCAGAATAGGGTTCTTGTACTCTACCGGACGAAAGCCATGTCGAATGACCGATATCATCTAGCTCCACAGCATCACGTGAATTGACAAATGCACAGCTAAGCGACTTTAAGTGCTTTGGATAGAGTATATAAATATGCGAGCTTGAATAAAATCCTTGTGTGTGTGTGTGTGTGTGCGCGCTTATAACTGAGATTTATCTCTGGCCTTCTAAAAAACAAAGTCCTGTTATAAGATTACGAGAAAATCAGCTCACCAGTGACCTTGAATCTGTCAATAGAAGAGAGAGAGAATTTAAGGAACCGGTTTCACTCGTTTACTCTATCTGGTTGATCCAAAGTTATTTATTCACTTGTCTTGTTGAGATCTAATAGTTCAGCTTCAGCCGCTACTTTGGTTAAGGAAAAAATATGCAATACAATATCTGAAATTGTATTTTTTTTACACTTTCTTGAAACCTACTCATTACACTTAAGTGTCAATGTATAAATTCTCTATTAATAATGGCATAACTATTTAACTATTTATTATATAAATACATATTTTTGATATATTGGACAGGTCATACAACTTTTAAAAAGTATACAAGATGTTTATTCAATTCAAATTCCTGTTTATATATATTCAACAATTCAACGTCCTTTAAATTTGATTCGAGCTTTTCAAGGTGATGAAGGAAATTTGTTAAAAGTGAGTCTTTGTTTTGTCTTGTGAATTAAACGACATAATTTAAAAGGTAACAGGTAAGATTTATAAAAGGGATGCATTTTAGATCACTGTGCGATTGGTCTACTTTAATAACCAATATGCTCGATGATTAGTGGCTATCATTCGTGTCTGGGAAGAGTATCTCGTCCTATTTCTGAGTCGATCGCTGTAAAAACCTAAACTTCAATGAGTTATGGTATCCTCACATATCACAAAAGTAAATAAATAATTTAGAACAACACATTTAAGCAAACAATATTGTTTTCAATTAGATCTCATCAGGCTTAACTCTAATATGTATAAGTTTACAAACAAAAATTCAAATATAAACCAATCATGGTGTTTTGTCTATAGGATAATACGATGGTGAATATAAATTGTGCAATTAGTCATAATAGTGGTAATGATAATATTAATAATAGTAATAACAATAATAATGGTCTTATCAATAATAAGGATGAAAAAATGAGGCAATCTGTGATAACACGAATAATGAAAAACAGCATGATTAAACAAACAACAGGTGGAAGTAGTCGATAAAGGCTAGTAAAAACAAATGAACCGATTACGTAATGTCAGACTGTAGGGGAAGGAAATGAAACACGTTTATAATAAAGATAAGATTAAGGGATGATAAGAAAGGGGTTGGAAATATAAATAAGGGGTGGTGTAGAAGTCTTTCGTTGTTTATGTCTTATTAGGCCACGGGAGGGATAATGGCTGTACGAAATTCTTTTGAATGCATAGTTTAGGTTTAATAGTTCGAATGCCTATCTCCTCTGCTGTGTGCAGTAGACTAATACGAAGTCTATTAGAAAGATTCGGTGGGATACGATGAATTACTTTGAAGGCTTTCGTTTTATCGACTACATGACCACTATCAATTAGATGTGACAGAATTCAGCTACGGATTGTTTTTGTCTGTCCTTTGCCAAACCACGATGGGAGATGTTCACTAACACGTTGGCTAAGCTGTCTAGTAGTACGCCCAATATAACTGTCACCGCAGGTGCAGTTGAATTGATAAATACACATAGATGTGGCAACACTGTTAAGCTTATCCTTCGTTTGCGTCCCAATCATTCGTCGGCTAGAGAATGACAAACATAGGTGTGCTGCGTAAAATGTTCTACGTATGCTCCTTGAAAGTCTTTGGAATAGAATCTCACTAGATAAGTCCCCATTAAATTGTAACTTAATAAATAGAGGTTTCTTATGTGCAGTCAGAGTCACAGGTTTTTTCTCTGATGGTTTCATATGTTTCTTTATGAAACTATTCGGATAACCCATCTCCGTCAAGGAATCGTGAATATATTCAAATTCCTTTTGTAAGAGGTCCTCCGTACATATCTTCCTTGCTCTGCTCGCGAGACATTTTACAACATTCCTTTTACATTTAATGGGCACGTAACTAAGGAAGTGTGTGCATTGCCCTTGAATGTGCTTTTTCTGTACACACTTCTCCCAATAAATAATTTCAAATTATACGCTCGTCATAGATTAATTTTCCATGACAAAATTACACAATGATGCCCTTATTATTCTGTTGTTCTAAAATTCAAATAATTTCCTTACCTAAATATGTAGTGAGATGTGTGTTCAATGTACTTCAAATTAAAGTATGCATTGATAATGGTGTTTAGTAAGGCAATAAAAGCTTCTCAGCCAAATCACCAAGCTCAGAGAACAGAAACTTCGCTAAAAAAATCATCCGCCTGAGCTACAAATCTTCTTCATTATATCTAAATCTTTTGAAGTGTTTTGAGATGTTTTCATAAAAACAGATTCATGTAACCCTAACCCCCTCCTCCTATTCTTCTTGTTTATGAAAACATTTGCATTATTAATTCCCCTATCACCTTTTTTTTTAATGTTTAGATGAATTTCAGCGACGATGTAATTTCATGCTTATATGAAAAGCTTACAGATCAGGTGAGAACAGCTCGAACAGCTCTGTGGTCAGCTTACCAGTTATTCAGTTGTAGTGAAATAAATGATATCACGAGTAAATTAATGAATCATATGATTGATTCTGTCGCAAAGCATCTACTGCCAGTGAAGGCAATGACAAATGAGACGACAAGAAGTGATGAATTAGCACAATTCAATAATAAATTACTATCGTCATCGTCATCATCATCAGAGATTGATACCTTTTCTAGTCAAATATTATCAAAGAATCCAGTTGACTCTGTGCATAAGGCATATTCCTCATCAGCAGGGAATGATAATAAATGGCCTATGTATACAACACCGATGAGTGGTCAACCGATAATATGGTCAGCTACATCTTTACCATTTTATCAACGTTCAATAATTCAAGGTCATACTTATCATCAAGAAAAAGTAAACAATTCAAATGAAAGACTACGAAATTTAATCAGTAATCAGCATATAGGAGGAGGACGAGGAGGACAAGTGTACGCGAATTCCACATTTATGCTTTCTCAGTCTCTTCCTAGGTCAATACAACCAACTTTACTGATTACAACAACACCATCATTAATTTCTGGTAATAATTCATCACGTTATCCTTGTCATCCGGCTAATTCACAGCATCCTCATCACCTTCAGCAGCAGCCACCACAGCCGCCACAGCAACCACATCCGCATCATTACTTTCAGCATCAGCCTACTTCTTCTGTTGGTTCTGTTGAATCATGTAATAATCATGACATGTTATTGTCTACTGGTTTTTATAAAAACTGTATGTAAAGAATGAATGTTCATCAATGGTTTATGAAGATCATATTTATTATGTGAAATAAGCGAGAAAAAAACAACAAAATGGTGTTTTTCTCCTTTTTTTGACTTGTCTTGATTTGATTTTATTCTCTTCGTTTTTTTTTCGCTTAACTTTTCATTAACTTTGCTCTTTGAATAATCTCATGCTCATGCTCACACTCATCATTATCACCATCATGTTCTAGTGTTGTTTGAAGTGTGTTTTTTCTCCAATGTTTATCTAACATACTTATTGATTTATGTGTTTGTCTTCTCCTTACCCGTCATTACACACTGTATAATGTGATAATCATTCAATGTTTCCAATGGTCAATATCTACTACATCTATGTATCATCTGTGATTTTTATTTTACTTAATAACTTCTTCATTATGTAAAATTAAATGAAAAGAAAACATAAAGAAAACGAAACAAAACTGCAAACAACAAACCAACAAACAGAAAACGAAATCAAAATAACCGCCTCAATTTAATTGAGTTAATTAAAACAAATCAAATAATCAATAGATGAATGGATCGCATAAAAAAGAAGAGTAGTATAAAAAAAACTATTGAATCATTGAATAAGTTCTAAGTGTTTTTTGTTGGCACTTTCTTTTAATTTGGAAAGTATACTTACTATTGCTATAATTCATTGTGTGTGTATGTTTTTTTTTTTTGATGGTCTAATTCTTCCTATCTATTTCAAGTGTTTACCTTTGTTCAAGTGTTGTTATGACAAACACTCCCTCACTCACTGTCTATCGGTGTATTCAGTCTATCATGTTATCAATGTATGCGTAATATTTTGAATGGATGGATATGCATGATTGGTTGGTTGGTCGGTCGGTTAGTTGGTTAGTTAGTTAATGACGTGGATACTTCGATTCCAGTTAAACTTCTTTTGTCGTTAGGATTATTCCTTTTATTGTCGAAATCTATGTCTTTATTGTATTTTAAAATAATTTTTGATTGATTGATTGATTCAATTATTGTATTATTGTTAGTCTTTTTAAAAAAAAATATGTCAGCTTTCTGAGTTCAATATTATGTTAAAAATTCAAGTTTTGAACACCTTTTAGGTGAAATGAAAACATACATATAACTATATATATGGTTCACAATGGTGGGCTTCTATTGCCTTCTAGATTCTGTAGGAAGTGGTCATTAAAAGTGGAATGTTTGAAAAATAAAATATAGAAAAAAAAATCCCCAATTAGACATTTAGAAAACAGAAAGATTGAACGAGCGAAGAAAAATTTACTTTTCAATTAGATCCTCATCTCACTCTGGCTCTACTCTAATATACACCTATAGCATTTTTATTGCAATACACAACAGTTTACCAATCATCAAGTGGCACTGATATCTTTCTTAACAATAATTAAACAGTGTCAAAATGTCATTGGGTTGATAGTTAACGAAGAAAATCAATACACACAATTAAAAGGTAGAAATGGATAGAATAAATTAATTTTACAAGGATAACACGTAAATTAAAGATGAAGTGGTCTGAAAAAAATATACAAAATAATTTGGACAATTATAATTTTTATAATTTTAAAGGTTTAGGGGGAGGGGGGCGAATTAGTCGGTACGGTCTGCGCATCCATGTAACGATGACCACGGTAAGGAAAGCGGCTGTACACATTTCTTCTGAACACATAGGTTTGGCTTCTTCAGGTGAATTCGTATTGCTTCAATTGTCTGCAGAAGACGAACTCGTAAAGCAAAATTAAGATTAGTCGGAATGTGATAAATAATTTTAAATGCAGTATTCACATCAATCTTATGCTCACTACCTACAAGGTGTGCTAAAATAAAGCTACGAATAGATCTTGTTTGTCCCTTTCTTAACCATGTTAGATGATGTTCAGAAATACGATGATGAACAACTCAATGTAGCTGGCTCCACAGCTGCAGTCAAACTGGCAGATACACATAGAAGAGGCAAATTTAAGTAGTTAGTTTATCCTTATTTCTCGAACGTAGACGGAGGAGTGGTTGTGAAGAGACAACGTACCTCTGCTGCATAATAAGCTCTTTTAACCGCATTCTGTAGGCTATGTGTTATTATTTCGCTGATGTTGTCACCGAGTAACTGGAGTTTTATGAACATTGTTTTTTTCGGAACTGTCGCCATACTGACTAATTATTGTTAACAAACATATCAGTGCCACTTGATTGGTAAACTGTTGTGTATTGCAATAAAAATGCTATACATTATATATTAGAGTAGAGCCAGAGTGAGATGAGGATCTAATTGAAAAGTAAATATTTATTCGCTCGTTCAATCTTTCTGTTTTCTGCAAAATGAAAATCAACTATTCTAGACTATAGGTGTAAGCGCAATATCGCTTGAAATTAAGTCACGCGTAGATAAAGGCTATCCCGGTCCAGAACAAACAAGAAGCCGGTCACTGTTTCTACGGTACTATTATTAAACAAATCAATAATTATGTATACAACAAACCTTAACGGTTTCAAGAGTACAAAGCACAACGCTTAACAGAAAGCAAGGTACCGCTATCAGAGCGGAATACCGTTAAAGCCAAAATTGCGAACTAGCCGGAACCAGACACGACCGTTCAGGTAAGCAGTTAGTAGAAGAATGAACCCAAGTAAGGCATGGCATAAAACAGAGAGCGTTTAAGAGAGATAGACCGAGCATAGGCACAAAGATAGAATTTATTTGGCTACTTAACCAGGTAGGAAGATACAGATGAAGATCAATAAATAAGATAAACTCGATAGAATAGTACAAAGTAAGATATGGGTCAGCAAAAATAAGAGTTCACAAAATACTCTGATTGGGCCATGAGTTCAACTGTCTGACTAAACGGATCGAGGTAAAAACACATAAACACAGTTCATTAAACAAGCAGGGATAGACACGTTAGGCATGGATAATTGGGTTGCAACAACGTTAGGCTGATCCGGGACAGGTTGACTTGATTCAAGGATGGGAATAGAATTGATCTTACAATAGGTATAAAAATAAAACTTGACTACTGTGGTACAGAATAATTCCATTATGGATAAAATTTTATTCTGATAAAATCACAGTGTTACACTGTAATATTAACTGATGACCACGTTTCGAGAACAATTTATCACTGATCATAATCATGTCAAAACACTACTCACAAAACTTTCTTGCTTCATTTATATACGTGAGTAAAATTGATTAGACCAATGAATAAAATCAATAATATAAGATAAAGTATATTCGGAAATAATATTAGTGTCAGCAATAAATTACAACAGGATGGGAAATTAGATGTTTTTACAGTAAAATGAATAAATAACTTGTTACAATGTTATAATGTATGTGAATTGAAATAGAATTTTAAGATTGTTCACTATCCTCTGATTTGACTGGTAATAATAATAATAATATATTCTTTATATCTCTGGTATTTGTGTTGAGTCACTTTTATCGTATATGTTGTTTGTAGACTCAATGAACTAGGATTCAGTAATCAATCTCTGAGTGACATTCAGAGATGAGCTGTGTTGCCCAAAGGACCCGGTGGACCCAATCAAAAAAAATAATATAATTTACAAAATACCTTTCAATGACTGTGAGGTCAACTATATAGGTCAAACTAGTAGATCGAGGGTAACGAGATTTTCGGAACATAAGAATTTAGCTAAGGTAAGAATGTGAATAATGCATTAAGAAGACAAATTTCACGAGATGATACCGTCATTTTGTAGTTTCTTTATAACCGCTTTACAACTAACATGGTTAACAATAATAAAATAAAGATCATGACTATTACTCAGTTAAATAAAAAACAAAAGTACATACTAATGATCAATCATATATAAAAGGTCATATAGTCAGTTCATGGTAGGCCAAGATTGAAGTCTATTGATTTTTGTACACACAGTTTAGGCTGTTTGTGATTAATCCCCCAAAGTGCTTCCATCACCTTCAATAACCTTGAATTAGAGCTATGTGAAATAATTGTGAAACAGTCATTAATATTGATTTTGTGACCAGACATTAATAAGTGTTTTGCAATGGATGAGGCTGGATTTCTATTCAGATTAATCGCGTTGAGATTTTCGATATAATTTAGTAACCATTTTGCAACATGTTCTTTTCGACGACATTGGAGCATTCTGTTGGTTCTACCTGTATAGTGTGTGTCACCGCAACAGCAGGTGAACTTGTAGATACAGTTTGAAGTAGAGTCCACAGAATTTCGTCCTTTAATCGTAGGTACAGGGATTGAAAATTTTCGGCAAGTGAGAAAAAGAGATGAGGCGGCGTAGAATGTGCGTTTGATGACTGACCGAAGTCTTTCACATAACTTTAATTCAAGGTTATTGAATGCGATGGAAGCACTTTGGACCTCCTTTAATCGTAGGTACAGGGATCGGAAATGTTCGCGATGTAAGGGAAAGAGATGCAGCGTAGAATGTGCGTTTGATGGCCGACCGAAGTCTTTGATCTGTCAACTGCATAATCTGGTCACCCTTGTATAACAGGTAGGTTAATAAAGATAGCTTTCTTTGGTACAGAAGCTGTTTTTTCGAGATGTGGCCCTTCTTTACTGTGATAAGTGATAAAGTTCTCCGGATAACCATTAGCTAATAAAACTGAATGTATATGTCGGAGCTCATCCATCAATGGGTCACTCGTGCATATTTTTCGGCCCCTTGAGAACAAACCTTTCACTAGGGAACGTTTATACTGGATAGGAACAAAACTGGTAAAATGAAGATATTGTCCACTCCATGTCTGTTTACGAAAAATAGAGCGCTGAATCGTTCCATCATCTCTCCTAGTCATACTAGTAATCCAGGAAACCGAGTTTGTTAGTCGATTCTAGTTCGGAAGTCACTCGAATATTTGGATGAATATGATTAAATAAGGTAATAAAGTTTTCAATAGATTTACTATTATTACCAATAATAAGAGTATCATCTACATAACGTTTATACAGCATAAATTCTCCAAACATACCTTACATTTGTTT